AAGTCTCATTGAAATAAATACTGTATTATGTCACTTTTTAAGGATTTTCGATTTTTTCATGATATTTTTAATTTATATATTCAGCTTGCGTCGACATTAATGGTAAACTACAGAAAGTGAGTGGTGTGAACACGCAAAGTACGCGTGTTTTACTCCCGAATATTAAATTATATTTGTATATATAAATATATATAGGCAGATGGTACTTATGATTATATATTTTACTTAACCCTCTTCTTCACTACAAAGCTCGTTTTCCGTACACATGTATATACATAGCATATATCTAGCATAAAGTACAAATTATGCAAATAACTACCTATATATTATGCATATGATAATACAAAAAGGCATCTGCCATTATTTCACTAATGTTTTTCACCCGATTTTCTTTTTTCTTTACTTTTTTTTTTATGACGGGATGTTATTATTTGTCGTTACTTAGCCGAAGAATTTACGGCACTATGCGGTGTCATAATATATATACGCACAAAACTTTTCCCATTATATACGCTCACGCGGCTTACGTGCCACGTCCTATCGTTATTGCCGCCATTATACGAGACGTAAAGGGAAAGAGAAAGAAAGATGTAAAAAACTTAAAATATTATACTAGAAGGGAACTTTGACCGTATAACAAACCGCCAGCCCTTTACTACATGAAAAGTTTTCGCATACTATGTCGCGTCTTTAAACCGCCCTTTATTTATTTATTTTTTTTTTTGACGACCGCATTATTTTGTACATATAAAACAACAAATAATATAAAACACGCGTGCATTTTTAGTGTTCACCTCCTATATAATTATATTTCCTTCGGCGCCCGCTGAGCGGTTATGGCGCATTATTTCACTTTATATTTACCTGTTGTTGTGTGAAACGCGAATACATAATATATTAATATGCATATAAAACCAAAGTATGAATAATTACTCTACGTTAGGTGATGTGCTTAATAAATAAATCGTAGTATTATGTTAACCGCGAGAGAAAAATGTTGTGAATTTTATATTATCTAAACCGTACATGTTGTATATATATATGTGTGTGTTTTTTTTCTTAGTTAAAATGTATATATGTTCTTAACTTTAACTAGTTCTATGTATTAAAAATTAGATTATATAACTTGGATTTTTTTTTATAATAGCTAACTTCTTCTTGAAACTGCGATATCATCATCTCCAGTCTATTTCTTAAACGCTAAATATTGTTTACTATATAAAATCCTATCCATATATTGTCTCATATTTAATTATATTATTTATTAATAAACTAACATAGAGTAATACTACGATAATATTAATGAAATTCTGTCATTACATTTATGGATAATAGTCACGACTTGTAATAATATCTTTACAAGCATATTTATATTTATGACGATAATACTGCCGTGTATAGAGTTATTTGGTTATAAACCTACAGTTTTAGTAAAAATTATATCTAACCAGCTTCTCTGTTTGTATATATTTATTTATTAATGTATATTTACAAGTATATAAAAATAAAATCAGGTAGATGAGATTAATTTAGTTAATTATTACATTAATTATTAAATACAATTTTTTATAAGTAATATGTACAATTCTTTTAGTTTATATCTGCACTTAATATAATATATTGTTTTGTGATTATTTTAAAATAATTTAAGATTATTATAAAATTATTATTATAGATATTGTATAATTATGTATTTATAACGATTGAGAGACGTTTTGAACTCCAATAATTTTCGATGTGAAATGTTTAAGGTTCAAAAATAAAAATAATTAACATCAGTCACAAGAGCTACAAATTAAAAAAATAATTAATTTTTTAAACTTTAAAAATACAGTATAACTTTAATCAAAATAAGTGCTTAGGATGTAAAATATCTACTATAAAAGTTGTGAATAAGGGATGTCACCCACACGTACATTCTCACTCCTAGCACTGCACTTATCTACGCGTATATAAAGATACAATAGTTATGCGCTTTAATAAATAAATATGATACAAATTATTTTATTACAAAACTAATATCTTATAAACTTAATATTTATTAACGAGCGTTGTTTACAAATAAAAAAAAAAACTCAAATAATATTATATTATCCTGTATATATTATATATTATAGCACTTTACCTAATCATTCTAATAAGTGTCTATAGGCTTCTACTTGTAAACATGGCCTCTGTAACGATTTTATAAGTCTTGTATTTTATAATAGGTAGGAACTTTATACTCTATAATATTATGTTAATTGTAATTATGTGGGCCGCAATTCTTGGTAGGTAGTAGGTATATACACATATTTATATTATTTATATAGTTTACGTGTGCTATGGTTTTGTACAAGTAATGAAAGATAAATGTAGGTATAAATATAATTTATAGGATGCACATTTATTATGAAAACCTCTGTCGTATTCACATACTCATTTCTTGATCATTATATTATTTTCATGTACATACAATAGTTATGTATACAAAACTAAATAGTTTTTCAGTGGTACAATATTTTTATATATTTTTATGTATACGGCAAAATTTAGGTAAATAAACACTGTACATTGCAGCTGATAATATTATATATATATATATATATATAAAATTATACGGATAAACATTTTAGAAACATAAATATATTTATATACAAATTAAATTCCAACGATAAATCATGAGTATATAGTACCCGTGTATTATGCATATATATATATAGAGTGTAATAGAAATAACTATCAGATATGATTAACTAGGCACGAAATATTATTTTAGGTTATTATTAATTATAAATTAACAAAAACTAAATATTGATAGAAATATAATGTATTAAATATATAGGTTAATTACATTTCTTAGCTATTTTTATTATACGCTCTATATACCATTTTAGTTTTATTTTTATAAAATTGCGGTTAATACAATTTTCATTATATTGGTTGATGATAATTTGCTGTACCTATTTAATATTATTATTTTAAAATTTGAATAAAAAAAAAAAAAAATTAAAGGATAGCGAATAGCTAATGGTACATAAAATATTAAAATTTACATAGTTATATAATTTCGGAACATGGGCTTTGAGGACGCTTATGCTTCTATAGAATGGATATTGGATATATTACGTACATAGAGTGTTCTGCTTTATATCGTATTACAAAAATGAAGATTTTTATGTTAATATTATTTTTTATAGTTATCCATAAGTATTTTTACATGGAAAAATTTATAAATATATGAAAGTAGGTACAGCAAAAAAATATTTCTGAAGGTGATATAGAGTGTATTTTTATGTAAAATTATCTCTAAACTGAATTTATATAGATGTATAATGCTTATTTTATTAAGAATTATTTCATAAAGTTGTATGTTATAAATATATAACCTTGTACCTACCTATACATTATTATACATTAATATCTATATGTGTATATTACCTTTATATTATTATGTATTTTAATTAAAATTATTTATTGAATTTAAAATTTAAAAAAACTATTTATTTATTCGAACAAATATTATAGTTTTAGATATGGTTAATCCATAAAGTATAATAATTATAGTATATATAGGTAGGTATACACGATTCTATGCCATTGGTATATAATTGTTTAAATTTTGTTCGCATAAATATTTTACGCATTTGCAGTAAAAAAAAAATACTAATGTAAATTATTTATTACTTATATAAACGAATAAACGTCTGATTGACGTGTACCTATGGTGTATGTATAAAAATAAAACCATAAAAAGAAAACGAGAACTTAAATATACATATTATACTGCAGTATATACAGCCTACGAGAATTCAAATATTTCTTATATTGCAGCGTATAAATCTAAACCTATACTTGTATATAGTATATCTATATGTATAGTGTATTGATAATGTATTATAATTTATATTTCTCATGGTGGAGATTAAATTATCATATTATATGATTTAAAAATATGTCTATTATTTTAAATATATTAACTATTATCAATTGGTATATTAATGTGAACACTAGCTGTGTAAGCATATATTATTATGTACCCGTGTATAATAACATAATATACTTTCGATTTCATATTTCATATTTTTATCAGCATAGGTATAATAATTATATCAACTTAGTTAAATAAATCATAAACCTATATAAAGTTTTGCTCCAGCGTATATGTTGTTAAAATCACGCGTAATACAATTTTATAACCTACGAATTTTTACGACGCTCAAATCCAAACCATTTCCATTATAACCATTTTCATACAGATATACGTATTGATACACCTATATGGCTATATATTATGTTTATATAAGAAAACCTAATTATTGAATTATGGTAAACTGTTATTGAATAAATAATTTTAACACATTGATACTTTTTTGTTTATATTATATACTACCCATATGTCACGATATCACCGTTTTACAAAGTTTTGATGTACCTACATTATGTATAGTCGTATATACCAACCATATACAATATTATTGCAAAATTATTGTTAAAATGTTTGTTTACGTTTGAATACAAGTGTTTTCACGGATAGCTTTGGTTTTATAATGTGTCGGCGATACCTATAAAAAAGTAACTATATAATATTTACACTATTAAAATAACATATCATATAGCCTAATGATTGTATGCGTGATTTTTGATGTATATGCTTATGACTGTTTGAATAATATTGAAATAGATAATTTAACGTAATGTTAAAGCGTAAAGATTATACATGTACAGGATCGCGTACAAGGAGTAAATTTAATTTTTTTTTGTTTTTTGTAAACAATTATAAGCGCGTCGTCGGCGATGCCAGCCGTGAAAATAATAGTAACAATTGCCGCGACGCGCGCGCGACCACGCGAGCAGCGACGTCATTGGCGGGCAGCCATCTTGGACCGCAGGCGCCCAGTTCGGGTGGCAGCCAGCCGGTCGCGGACTCGCCCGTTTTCGACGATAATAATAATATCTTCATTAGAACGACCCCGACCACCGGCAGTCCGACGACCACGGCGACCGCACAACCCCAAGAATATAAAAAAATCGCGCGCGCACGTATCGTTTTCGAATTATAATTATTACATTTTTTTTTCTTTTTTTTTTAAACTTAAACCGCCCAATTTCCGGGTGTCCCGCGGTTTCATCGAAATTCCACATCATTGTCACCGACATCGCGGGACAGTCAACTCGGTCCGCCGCAGCTTAGGTATACTGTTTAAGTGCTTAAATATAAAATATTCACGTATGCGTACGCTGTACGCCTATTCGGTATTACACGCTATCCATATAGTCACCAGCCGTGTATTTACACCGTACGTTGTACGGAATTCATAGTTGATGCGACACGACATTATAACGTTCGAAAAACTTATTCGTTTCACTGCCGAGTCGAGCACGCGTGTGCACGGGAGAACGCAACAAAAGCACAATCGCGCACATACGCGGATATAAGCACACACGCAAACACACATTTCCACAAATACACACAATATATTGGATTCCGCGGGTCACGTACATAATAAAAACGATCGCTGTTTCGTCACACGACACGTGTGACTGCGTGCAGGTTACACGCACGTGATCACGCCGCGCGTTCTCCGACTTGCACTGGCAGCTATGCGCGGAATACGCCCGGCATAGGTATTTAGGCGTATACGCTGTTCGTAAAGGTATAAACCTTGCACCTAAGCCTATATACTGCCCGTCGTTGTCACACCGTGCAAGACCACTGCAGTTACCGTGATATTGTTCATCCGCACCGTTCGTCATTATGTCGCCGTCACGTAAGTCTTTATTTTCCATCATATTATAAATGATATTGTATAACTATATAATACTAATAGGTATAATATTATATATCATGGTAAATCAACGTTTACGTTAAATATGCATATTTTGTGGTAGTCGTTAGTTCCATTTATAGTTTATATACCTACCTATATTAATATTTACTTATAGTTATTCATAATAACGGTATACAAAATGATTCTGTACTATATAGTAGATAATATACGCGTTTTTTCATCTGTTTTTCGACCAAGAATAGTGATTTCATTTTTATTATATAAGACATAGAGTACTTTTTCGAACTTTAAACAACATTTGATTTTGCAGTAGAAATTTATTTGAAAAAACAGAAATAATAATCAATTTAAAAACAATTATTTCAAAATCACTTTAACCTTTTATTGAAACCTGGTTTAAAAAATGAGGAGTTAAAATTAACGAGAACATGTTTATTTACTGTAACTTCACTTTCTGAAAGAGTGTATGCCAAGCACTGTCTCTCAATAATTAATTATCACCTGTAGACAAATGTATAAGATATCTTGGTATTCACATCGACCGCTGTCTTACCTAACTACCACATAGGTAGCTTTAATTAAAAACTAATTTTGATTTCTAAATAATCGTATACGCTTCTTTCGTCCTTTACTAACTTCCAAAAATATAAAACTACCATATGAATTATTAATTTAAAAATTACTGCACAAACCCATTTGAATATATGGCATCCAGCTCTGGGGCTCAGCAAAAATTTCTAATACTAATCGTATCCAAAGAATCCAATCAAAAATTCTTTGTACCATTTTAAAAGCTCTATTCTATGTCTTAAATAAATCCCTTCACTCCAACTTAAGAATATTTACTGTCAACAAATTAGCCAAACTATATTATAAACGCTTCAATAATGATTAAACCATCACCTCAATCTACTTATTTCTTAACTCGTATTCATAACCATACCTAATAATTCTCAAAAGAGATTAAAAAGGCAGTGGTGTTGTGACCTGTTGATATCAGTAATTGATGAATATCAATTACATAATATATTAGTTATTAAAAAAAAAAAAAATTTAAATATAAATGCCTATAAGATAACAATAACTTTATGATGACGAAGTACCTCCACTGGGAGGTTTTTTCACTCTGTATTTTCCGTGATGTATACAAAATTATATCAATTAAGTTAATTATTCAATTATTGTAACAGATTGCTTGATAAAAAATTAATGTTATATAAAAAAAAACAATTGTTAAACTGCTGTAACGGTTATTCAAATACAAATTATAATACAAAAAATATATTTTTATATATATTTTTAGACGTATAGTGTAAGCAATATTAATTGTTAGTTTTAATATTTTAAAAATTAAATAATAAAATTTGTTTGAATATACATTACTATGATGAACCGATTTATTAACTATTGTTATATAGATTAATACTACAATAGCTAATGTGGGTGGGTCTAGAGATTTTCTTTGATTAAATTATTTAAGTTGCGTGATTCATCACATCGTTAACACTATTCTTTTAAAAAGGTTGTATTTACTGTTTACATATAGGTATTTCCGTTTTCCGACAGAGCAATTCTTGCCTATTATCATCATAACTGTTTTTCACTAAAAGCACCAAAGGTTATCTTCCAATTTCCAAAAAAAAAAAAAAAAAAAAATTAAATAATAAATTATTCAAAAAGCTTTATTGAGTCCAAATTTATCAAATTGTAATAATTAAGATGTACGCGCCTTATCTTGTGTCATAAATATCGATCAAAAACATAATAAATATCATTAACATTTTATCTTACTACTATTGCTCATAAAGTTAATGCATTTTCTAACGTACACTCTATACACTCTATTATACATTTAGTTAAATTTATATTTGATACTCGGCACATTTAAGTATTATCATAACATAAGTATTATGGTTGTGTAAAAGTCAATAAAACCGGAGTTTAAAAATTATTTTTAAATGTATTATGAATAGTTAACGTTACAGTAAGCTTAGCATGAAATAATGCATTAATTATAAAACTAAATAAAAAGTTTACATTAAACAAAATTAATGATTATAAACAATACAAGTTTATTTATAAAAAAAACTTAATTTTATAAAAATTACAAAAATTTTAAGTTACTATGCTAAAAAGAGATTTTTTACAAACTCAAATTTAATTCAATGTTCACGAATGTATTTTTTAAATGTATTCTTCATTTTTTATTTGTTTTAAATTAATAATATTTCATAAAGTTTTTGATTCATTCTCACTTGTCATTTTACAATATATACAAGTTTATATTTTATTTATCAAGTATTGAACCTGCGTATAAATTGAGAGTGAGCTTTCATAAGCAACGGGTTTTGTCTATGATAAAATAATAATAATACATCCCACAATTTTTAACTAATATTAGGAGTTTTTAAAAAATATCTAAAATAATTTATGAATTTTTTTTGGTGAAAATTGAAAGATAACCTTTGACGGAAAACAGCCATAGTAATGATGGGCGAGGGTTATTTTAGTGAAAAACGGCCACGCCTTTATAGATTGTATATCTATTTAATTCATAAAGATGATTAATAAGGCAAATGACCTATGAGACAAATTTAATATCTCTCTGATGAGCTCTAACTTAGTAAGTTCTGTCACACTCTCACGTAGACAAATTCACTTACCACCTACTCTTCACTTTATTTTTTTTTATTAGTATGATTATATCGTATTTTACTGGCCATTGTATAGATTATGATATGGGTTTATGATATACAATACTTTTAATTATTATTTACTTACATCTATAAATTCTAAAATATTTCAATTTAAATATTTCCTAATAAATTGGATAAGTTGTAGTTAGGTTTATTATAATGTGTATTATTACCAATGTATATTGCCTTTTTTATTTATCCATTTTAAATTTTTTTTTTTTTTGGTTTTCTTTTATTATTTATACAGTATTGTAATAGTAATTATTTTAGAGTTCTTGGGCAGATACTGGTAGACATTTAAACATATTTAAAATATTGATTTTAATTTTTTTTTCGATTTTGTGTTAAATGGATTACATTTTTTTTTATAAAATTAAAATATTATTTATTTTAAATTTTATTCTTTTTACAATGACAACACTAATTTTAATTTAGTACTCCAAAGTAGAAAATGTATACATATTATACAAATTATCGAAGTAAATATTTATAGTTAGAACTTTACAAGTACCTATATATGAATAAAGTTTCGATGAGCTCTACAGTTTAGAGTAGTCAGTACCAATATTTTGTGCCTTAATTATGTCAAGCAGCTTATCGCAATTTATGTACCTATATGGTAGTAATATAAATATTTTATATCTGAACATAGATTATAAAATTACGCTATGATAAAATTAAAACTTTTAGATTTTTATAATGAAATATTTGTGCAGGATATTTTCTATTTTTCCGCAAATTAAATTTACGTGAATATCAAAAAGTGTAAAAACATCTTCTTGATAACTTTCTTTTAGTGCGTACTACTTATGTTTATATCTAACATGTATTCTCGTTTATATATATGTATATACCTATATAGTTTTAAATTTGTGTTAGGATTAATTTGAATTGTCTTTAATGCCTTATTCGATTATGATCAGTATCTAGCCATATGTAGATGATATTAATATTTAAAAAAATATTTTATGTATCTTATAATAACCTATTTGTGTCTTAAGGATGCTTATTGCTTATATATATATATTATTTATATAATATATCATTTTTATTAAACATAATATGCAAACTGCAGTATAAGTTACCTGGACGGTATTCTATCGAATATACAATAACAATAATTTGTTAAAAACATTAATTGTGTTATCAATCATTAAGATTATAATATTTTTAAATAAATACATATTTTACTAGTCTACAAAAATTTGAAAAAATCTGCTATTGGTACTTACCTATACCCACTCCGTCACACGAACCGCGCACTGACGACAGCAGTGAACTGACTAGCATCAACGTCGCATAAACGGAATATCTTATAATATTATTGTGATTGCGCGAATTGGGCTTGTACCTATATATATTTATAGTCACGTCCTTTTACGCAAGTCAAGAGAATAAACGTTGTACCTTTTTTTTCATTTCAATATACCATCATTATACATTGTCTGTTTTCAAGGTCTGATGCAAGGACAAGTATTTTTGTCACGGCGTGATCACCCTTATCATTGCGGGGGTCCTTTAGATATATATACATAAACACACGTGTATTTAAATTTATATTATATTATTATACACTGCAGACGTGCACTATTTAGGTACACGGAAGCAAATAGCTATAGCAGGGTTTCCTTAAACACACGGCGTTGGAGGTCATATTATATTGTTATATTTATATATATATGTATGTGTGTACATGTGTATATATGTATATGTATACCCGTCACACACCCCTTAAGGATCGTCCTTTATGGAGGCCATTTGTATAAAACTGGCGGCCATAAAAACCATGCTCTTGCATGCCGTCACTATGTTGCGCGTCTGGTAGGGGCGACTCGAAATAATCGCCTTCTTCGCCATACGCGAGTCTGTAATCGAACTCCTTCGATGGCGTTGTTAATGAGAAAAAAATTAACGCTAGACGATAAGCACGCGTAATTTATATGAAATACGTGTTTATATATGAATAGTAGTCGAGTGCATCACTGTGGCATTTTATACTAATGTACATAGAAATAATTATAATATTTATGCTATTGGATGATTTTGTTGAATAATAGTTAGATTTAGGTTTATAAAGAAAGGTATATTTCGCGATAAATTATATTTAATGGGATTCATATTCAATTTTTATAACTATAATAGAATTATGCAATAAATGTACTCAATAAGAATAAATACAACAATGCTATTGTTAGTATAAATCAGTGGCGGCTCGTCAGGAAGACAAGTGAGGCTTAGCCTCACTTAACTATTGTAAAGGAAAAGGAGATATAAACTATAATT